CCCCAAAACCCCAAAACCCCAAAACCCCATAAATGCCAGATAGGGTTGGGATATATTAAGAAATTAAGATATGGAATCTGAAGATAAATTCTCAGCAGTCATTATCAAAGACGGCAAACCAACTGTACAAGAGGTGGATGGAAGACCCCTCAAGGAGGGAGAAGTTAAGATCAGAGTAGAAGCTTCTCCTATTAATCCCAGTGATAGGGGGTTCCTCTCAGGTTCCTATGGAATCAAAGAGCTCCTCCCAACTGGAGAATTAGGAGCTGGCTTTGAAGGAGCAGGAGTCGTTGTTGAGGTAAGAATTTTCCCATCATTTCTCATCCATCTAGGCTCACGAATCCGTCGGAACAGATCTTGTTGGCAAGACAGTTGCTTTCTCTGACAACTGCCATTCTCCTACTTTTCAAGGCGTGTGGAGGAAGTATATCTATCTTCCAGCTGCAATTTTGATTCCATTCCCAGAGGGAACAGAGCCATCAAAAGTTTTTGCTGTTTTTGTGAATCCACTCACCGTCTTGTTGATGATTAACCAAGCCAAGAAATTTGGCCATAAAGCTCTTGTTCATGGAGCAGCTTGCTCTACCTTGGGTAAGATGTTGGCCAAGTATGCCAAGAAGGTTGATTTCCCAGTCATCCATCTAGTCAGAAGACAAGAGCAAGTTGACATTTTGAAAGAACTTGGAGCTGAGCATATCTTGGATTCTTCAACTGAGACTTTTGACTCTGATCTCCAAAATTTATCAAAAGAAATTGGAGCGACTGCCTACTTTGATCCTATTGCTGGGGACTTTTGCACACAAGTCTTGACCAAGCTTCCAGCTGGATCAACTGCTTATGTTTACGGTGGCTTGTCAGGAAAGCCAGTCACTTTGAGCCCGATAGATATCATCTTTTACCAGAAATCTATTTCCTTCTTGTACCTCTCAGTTTGGTACAAGCAGTCAACTAAAGAGGAGCAAAAAGAAGCTATAGGAGAAGTCGTAGGAGACCTTATTGGAGGCGGAGAGATCTTCGGATCCCAGCTCTATAAAACCTACTCTCTCTCAGACCTTGAGACTGCTTTGAGTGACTCTGTAGAACATGCTACTAAAGGAAAGGTGTGTCTCAACCCTCAGTTATAAAATGACGTATGTGTATTCACCTAATTTTAGTTGTCGCAACAACCAGGTTATTAGTTGGGGTTTTGGGGTTTTGGGGTTTTGGGGTTTTGGGG